GTTACTTTCCACAAATGATTCCCCAGAAATACTGCTATATGTAATAGTTGGATTTATAGTAGTAACCATACCACACTTCAGGTATTTTAACCTTATCAATTAAAAGAACTTTGATGGATTGATCTGAGACCTCAACATCACCTCAAGTGCTGTTTTTATGAAAAACTGTACACAAGTTCTATAGGATACCCAAACTTTTAAAATGAACTTTTACACCATGAGCTAACTGTAGGTTGAGAGTAATAACTGGATGAAGAATAGAAATGTCAATCAATCATGAAGATGCATCGAAATATTTGAGTCTATGGCATCCTGCAGGTAATATTTAATTATTGTATCTTCCAAATTTAATCCAGATAGTATTTTTTTTGCATAAACATAAGCAGTGGTTATTTAGAAAGAACTTCCAATATAATATAAACTTTTCTTGAGGAAAATCATCTCAGTTTGTAATTTTCTTTATGCTTTTATGATTTTTATTATAGTTATTTGCCACTTAATAAAAACAAATGCATTCTAGAAAACGTTAGTAAGCAAATCTGTTAAGTGACTATATTCCAATTTCCATTAACCTATTAGGGTTACATTTTCTGGAGGAAAAAATTGGAGAAACACATAAAATAAAATTATATCATAAACCCAACAATTTTCTTTTAAAACATGAATAGATGATTTTTAAAATAGCTAAATTAAAAATATTTGTAATATTACATCCCATTCAAAGTAATTCATGGAACCTAAAATCATGAAAATGAACTCTTGCTAGAAATTGATGGATCAGATCATCTGTATTGGTCAGCCTCACTTTCTGGGGTCAGTAAGGACAGGACTTTCTTTTGTTTTTAAAGTTTTTGCCTTAGAGACAGACAGAGAAAGGGAAAGTGAGAAATAACCCCCAGAGGGATGGCCATATCCTAATCCCCTCTCCTCTATTCTCCTCTTTGGATTTTGGGAATGTATGCACATGTGTCTGGCATGGTTTTCAGTTCTAGGACTGGAACCACAGTCCACCATGTGAAGAGTCTAACTCCTTATTCACCACGCCACCTGCTAGCCCCAGGATACTGCTTTCTAGAGTGTTAGCATTCTGATAAAATCTCATCCTCATTTGAAAAATCAGCCTCTTATTAATAATAAATAAGACTTATTTCAAATTCACATTGAAAAGGTTAGGATTTTCTCCAACTTAAAAAGAGTTCTTATTTTGGTCTTTTTCAAAACATTGACCTGTAGTTAAGAACCATGGCATTCTTTAGTCAGAAGATTCAGCTGCAAATAATCTAGGAAGTACAAACATCTTTTCCTTATCCTGTTTGGGATCAAGCTTCTCACTACTTAACATCCTAGTGGTTAAGTGGAGCCAGACTGCCTGGGTTCAAGCTTGATTTTACCATTGACTTCTTATGTGACTTTAGACAAGTTAAGAAAAGTCTTTGAAGATTAGTTTTCATATCTATATAATAAAGAGCATTAGGGACAGCTACCTCATAGAGTGGTTGTGAGAATGAAAATATTAATACTTGTAACATGTTTAAAACAATATCTGGCTCAAGTAAGTGTTTGCTATTGTAATAGTGGCTTTATTGTCATATTACTTATTATGACAATATTCTAATTCAATTTACTTCAAATTAAATATTTTAATAAAATATATTATTATTATTATTGTTCTTATTTTCTCACAATTCTAAGTGTACACCCTATGACCAATTTTTCATGATCCTCTTCATGAATTTGTCTTATTAACTAAATATAAAGTTACTAAATGCATTTCTGTATTCATGAAATCTCTCATGTTCAACTATAAATTTGATTCTTCAATTTGTTATCTAAGTTTTTTATATTCTCTACACTGTAAACAATTCTTAAGAACAGCAATTGTCTTTATCTTTTGCTTTGTTACATTCTAGTCGAGCACTCTTTTTCTAATACATATTTAATAAGTAATAAATGAATTAATGAATGAGTTAGTGAGTGTCTATATGACATTAAATCAACTAGCACAGATAGGTACAATTCAACCTACGAGGATAGGCACTTTTCAAGATACTACAAGAGGGTTTCACTTACACGAACAAGGGGCCTCTGTTCTCACACTTGACGTTCTGCTCAGAACCTGTACTTGCAGTTAAGAGTTGGTGGAAATAGGAAACAAATATTTAAGAAGTACAAAGAAGAAATAAGCAATGAAAAAGAATGGGCTGTAGACCTAGGGTATAAAGATACTTGCAATATATGACTACAAAATTTGAAGACTGCTTTGCTCAATAAAGTTTATTTTATCACTCTGGGAGTAAGAAGGCCATAACTTCTTACCTTAAAAAATACTCTAAGCTTAAAATAAAATAATCTATAATGCATTCTTATCTATAGCGCCCATTTCATGCCTCAGAAGCCCTTATGAAAATAATAGACATCAAAAATTTTTTGCATAAATTTATGCAAAATCCACTTGACAAATATAAACAAATCTCATATAATAATACCATTTGACTGAGATAGAAGATTTAAACTTTATATATTTACCTTACAATGTACATGAGGGGATTTCCTATCAACGTTAAGGATTTTCCTTCAGAGTTAGTCTCTAAGGTATTGCAAATTTCAAGGAACCAATTTACTTACTAAGAAAAAAAAGAATCCATTAGGGCAGAATGAAATTATCTTACAAGTTTCCTAGATTTTACCAGTAATTAGGTCTACTTTCATAATAAATGCATACCAGTCTCTCTAAAAGGCCATTTAAAACTTCCAGATACACACTCCAGAAAAAAATTTCAATGCTTGAAGATGCTCCACTGATCTGTACATTTATAGACATCCAAGCAGGTAGGTAAACAAAAACCCTAGGCTGGTATCAATTGCCAAGAAATGCAGCTAAAACCACTCCTGCCCCTTCCTCTTTCTAGCAGCCTCCCTTGCAGGACTACACTGGAAATTAGAAGGGTAGGCTGATGTTCATGGTTGCCCTGTCACATAAACAAGAAGTTTTAAAAGCCCAACAGAAGGGTTTAGATAGGGTAATAATTTCCACTAATCTCATCTGAATATTCAGTAAACATGTGTACTTGGAAAACTGAAGTGTGGGATTTGGAGAAAAGTGAAATTGAAAATAGTTTTGACTGATGAATTGATTGATTAAATTCAGAAGAACGCAGGTTCAAAAAGGAAAAAGGAAGATGCAAGGACAAGAACTCTCAAAGGGCAGGCAGTTAAATATTTTTCTGGAGTCGATGTGTGTGGGGGGTTATGTATATGGAAGATGGAGCAGCACTAACAGGAGAGGGAACAGGGATGGTTAAAGAAGAAAGAAAGTCAGAGAACTGCTAAGTGATTTCGCTCCTTTCTCCAAAAGTGAACACTGCCACAAGGGGAGGGAAAGTGCATTAGATCGAATACTATTTGCGATAAATAATTGGTGATCAGGAGAGGGTTATGGTATTAACTTTGTGGAAGTCTATTCACTCTTTGGGGTGATGAGGATTTTTTTTTTCATTCAATGGAGGAAAAGTTATATGGTGAACCTTTAGTGTTCTCAGAGTGTCTACGCAGCCACGCAAGTAAGCATTTATTCATGCCCTCCACTAAACTCCACCACCTCAAGCAGCAATTAAATGTACAACACACACACACACACACACACACACACACACACACTCACACACAATGTGTTCAATTAGTGAACTATTTCAGTTTTGGTTAAAAACAAAGGACTTTCTGGTCTAGATGTCTGTAGGATTAATTCATGTATTACAAGTTAAGCTTTGGGTAATTATATTCACACACACACACACACACACACCCTTAAAGAGTGTAACTGATAAAACTTCACTTTCTTATATATAAATTTTAAAATGCTACCCTCTTTGAAAAAATCTTTCCTATAAATTATTCAGTACTGATAAGACTAGCTCTTTGAAATCTATCTTTCACTTGTCCTATGAAAGATAGCATTTTGATAGATGTTTATTGGTAAATAAATCAAGAGACCTTTGTCCCTCACTGCATTACACATTTAAAAACAATAAGATGCTTACTTTTCCTTTGACCCCGATTTTTAAAAAATCAGATTCTTAACAAATTTAAAAAAAATCAATGCAAAAATGAAAATGTGAAATGCTATTGAAAATATTGACATTATTGCATAACTTG